TGAAAATAGCTGCCCTGGGGCATTGACACAATGACTGCAGAGTGAACCGACACGCTACAACAGGGACTTATGATAATACCAAGTTACTACTGTAGTAACAATAACTCTAGTAACTGTTGTATTTGGGGGGAATCTATGGCTATGACAGCAACACTTTATAAGGCAGTCTGTGTTTGTGGCAACAAACCAAAAATAAGGGTCAAAAGAGTTGAACCATTAATTGTTAAAAGGTTATTGGTCACACTTTATTTATTAAAGGGGTCATATGATACGATTTCAATTTTTCCTTTCTCTTTGGAGTGTTACAAGCTCTTGGTGCATAAAGAAGATTTGTAAAGTTGCAAAGACTAAAGTCTCAAACCCAAAGAGATATTCTTTATAAAAGTTAAGACTCGTCCACGCCCTCCTAAAATGGCTCGTTCTAACATGCCCCCACATGTCTAAGTCACTGTGTGGGAAGATTTGCATAACACCGCCCAAATGTTCACGCAAAGAAAGAAGGCGTAACTTTGATTCTCGCTGTAGTAATTCCCCGCACCTGCTGCAGCTCATCAAGCTCCCCTTTATCTGTGTTCACTCCACACACGCTCCTCGTCCGGTCTACCGTTCACTACCTTGAACCAAGCCTGACTCTCTTGATACTTACCTATGTGTTTCCTTACCTAAGACGTTCCAGTTTCTCCACCGCTCCAACTCTCCACTGCTCCACGTGATTCCTGCAAGCTAAGCCCTCTGAACATTGTCACTTTGTGCTACACTCACCTCTCGTCACCACCTGGTTCACTTCTTAGTCTCTGTCAATAAAAACCCTTGTTTGACCACTTACCTCTGTGTCTCCTAGCCTGTGTCTTGACAGTAGTATTGTTGCCGCCGCCGCCATGTCGTGGAGACTCTGTGTGTTTCGAAAGTGTAGCGAAACTACTTTGTTTGGTCTTCCAAAAGAGGACACGACTAGAAATCAGTGGTTAAGTTGTATTTACAACACTATTCCAGAACAGTTCAACCCAAATATTCAGATGTGTGCAGCGCATTTTACGGAGGACTGTTTATTTACCTGGGAGAGTAGCCTACAATGCCGGCTGTAGGTATGTTTTCATATTTAAAGAATTTGCCACTGATGATTCAAATGCGAGTTTTGAGCAGTGTAGAGTAGCGCTTGTAGTTTGTCGTCTCTCCGATCACAAATGCAGACATGGTTTTATGTTTACGCGGCGCGATACGCAACGCATAAAAAGACAGTATAAGTCATTATAATCAGTAATTATGTCCCCACTGGATGCAACAAATGCCTCGTTTATAATGGGTTTTATTGGTTTTGTCTCGTCGCGCCGGGACACGGCATCACAGTATGGTGAGGGCCGTAATATTTCTGTCACACGCTTGAGGCATTCGGCCAATCACAACGCACTGGATAGCTGGCCAATCAGAGCACACCTCGCTTTTCAGAACGATGAGCTTTGTAAAAATCAACGAGTTTCAGAAAGGCGGGGCATAGAGGAGAAAAACAATAATGTACAGTATGTGGAAAATAATGTGTTTTTTGAACCTTAAACCTCATAAACACATTTCATTACACCAAATACACAAAATAATGTTCTTTTTAGCAACGTCATATGACCCCTTTAAAAAAAAAAGCATAGGAAAATGGGGCTTGTCTTGGCTATGACTTTATCCCACGTCAAACGGGATGTTTTTCTTTTTTACAGCAAGTGAGTAAATGGTTTGTAAACTCTGGCTGGAGATGCAGGGGGAAAAAACTGTGGTGGTGTATATTAAAGAGCAGTTACGAGGGCCACAGGTGCTCTCTCTGGAAAATATTTACCCAAAAGGCACAAATGTTAGCTGAAGACTGTTTATGCTACTAGGAACAAACTACTAGTTGATGTCGTTTGAATTTGACTATTTTCAAAGTGTTGTGTGCTCTGTTTGTCTGTGGGGGTGTATCCGTTTGACATAAAATGAAGGGAAAATCGTTTTTACGCATGCAAAATTTTTGATGTAATGGGTTTGCTGAGAATATCTGGTAAAGCCAACATTGTGGATTTGTGTGTAAGTGTGTGTGAAATGAGCGTCTCAGCTGTAAAACCATCTGTTGAAGTAATTTAGAAGTGAACTAAAATATGTCTTCACAGGACTCGCTGGCAGCATGGCCAGTGAGACTCAGGTCTTTGTTTAGTAGTGTTGTTACGTTCGTGAACGAATCGTTCTTTTTGAACGAATCTTTTTGGTGAACGAATCGTTCTCGTTCACGTAATCCATTGCCTCATATTTCTCGTTCACTGAAATTTAAGACATAACACATAAGACACTCTTTTTCGCCACCTGCTGGCGTATTTATGTAATATGAAGAAATGGTCACTGAACGAATCAGTGAACGAATCTGAACGAATCATTTTGGTGAACGAACTGAAAATGAACGAATCTCTTGAAAGAATCAAAATTTCCATCACTATTGTTTAGACATTATATTCAGCCATGCTAATTAAGCCAAAGTCTACAACAAAAGGCCACAAATCATTACTGAGGTTAGCTTAGGTATTATGTTATAGGTTATATGTTAGGTTAGGTTCTATGTTATGTTATAGGTTATATGTTAGGTTAGGTTCTATGTTATGTTATGGGTTATATGTTAGGTTAGGTTATGTTACTGTAGGTTGGATGTTAGCTTATGTTAGGTTAGCTTATGTTATGTTAGGTTGCATGTTATGTTAGGTTATATGTTAAGTTATGTTATGTTACTGTAGGTTGGATGTTGGTCTAGGTCAGCTTTGTTATAGGTTATATGTTAGTTACTGTTACTGGTTGGATGTTAGGTTATGTTATACTGTGTCAGGTTATACCAACAGAACGTGGCATAACATGACAACATGGCATTTCATAAAATAACATAACATATACCAGCGGAATAACCTTGTAATATGTACCTAATTTGCAGTTAAATGTGTAAAATGTGCACAATAACACTCATCAGAAAAGTCTTTAAATGTGTGCACGGCACACATGTCCACAAGGCCTGAAGGAACTTGACTACTAACAGTTCTGGTTTAAAGGAGGTTATTACACTGCAAAGAAAACCAGCTGCTTCAAAATATTCATTTACCTAATATATGATGGTTGTAAACATTTTCAGCAGAGGCAAACATTATGAAGATTTCTGAGGCAACGATTTTATACAGGAACATAAAACACATAAATGCCGCTAAATTTGGTGGTTTTGAAGTCTCATAACTGTTGTGTTTTTGGTAAATAAAATTGAGAAAACGGTTGCTTGAGATGTGTGAATGTGAGCAGACAATGCACCCAGCCGGACTAAATCCCAGCTGCGTTTGAGCTTTTGTGTCTAGCTGGGCCGTTTTCCAGTCACCTCTTGTGAACTCTTTTGTCACTGTTCTGTGATGAGTACAGGATTTGTCAGGGCATGAGGATTTTTTGATACGCTACTGTAGCGCATGTGATAAACACGCCAGGTGACTGAACATAAAAGTTGGATTTGAGGGGCTTTGTCGTGCTTTGGCTTCAGCTCCTGGAATCTGACCTGCTTTAGAAGAAAATCGGACAGGTCAGCATTTGGACGGGATACAAAAATACCCCCTACTGTATATCCAATCAGGGTATTTGCGATCCATTCGCAGCTGGGACGCAAGGCTGTGTGGGTGTGTGTGGACGAGGGGGTGGTAGAAAGAAGACACAGGAATGCAGTCGACGCCAGTTTGCTCTTTGGCCTTTCAGAGGTAACCAAGCATATCCTCTTAAGCCTCCAGCCTCCCTGCTTCATTCCCTAACATAAAAGACCAAACCTTGGCCGAGTCGCAAAAGACAAGGAAAAAAAAAAAGAGGCGGATGATTCAGGATCATCTTTTGCACTGTGCAGTGGTCCATCTATGGTTGTATCTGGAGACAGAAGCTGCAAATAACGGTTTCAAAGGGCTTTTTTTTTTTTTTTTGTAGCGATGCAATAGAAAAAGAACCTTTCAGGGAACAATTTTTGCTTAGTGTGAAGAATATTTCATTCTAAAAAAAAAAAATTTAATTATAAAGAACCTTTTCTACAGTGTACAGGTTCCATGGATGTTCTTCATGGTTCTATGGAGGTTCTTCATGTCTTTGAAAGCTTGTAAAACTTTCTTCTTATGAACACAAAAGATATTTGTGACACTGGACCACAAAACCAGTCATAAGTAGCACATGTATATATGTAGCAATAGCCAACAATACATTATATGGGTAAAAATTTATATTTTTCTTTTATGCCAAAAATCATTAGGATATTAAGTAGAGATCATGTTCCATGAAGATATTTTGTAAATTTCCTACCGTAAATATATCAAAACTTAATTTTTGATTAGTAATATGCATTGCTAAGGACTTCATTTGGACAATTTTAAAGGCGATTTTCTCAATATTTAGATTTTTTTGCACCCTCAGATTCCAGATTTTTAAATAGTTGTATCTTGGCCAAATATTGTCCTATCATAGCAAACCAGATCCAAAAATCCAAGATCTGCAGAACAGATTGAGGTCTGCAATTCATAAAGGCCGAAAAATAACAGCTGACGGCTTCCGTGAACTTGTTTTGACATTTTTTCCCCTCCAGTGATAAAGCAGAATTCATTGGAATTATGATTTAAACAGTCTCTGGTTTATTTATTCAAATTTGTAATCCCTTTCAGAGGCCAAAAGGAGCTTCCCTGCTGAAGAGACCAGTTCAGACCAGAATGAATTTCTATGCTTGTCCAAATTGGCTATACTGTGTTCTTCAACACATTTTTTTTTTCAGCAATTCTGATAATGATTTGTTTAAAGATAGTATTACACACATGGGCTGGTAATTTTCTTTCATATAATTACATTTATGTTACTTGATCTCGCGATTACAACTTTATTTGACATTCTTCCAATGTAATTTCTCAATATTTGGGCTGTAAAACTCAAAAATGTGTTAAGAGAGGGCCTCCAAAGTTAATTTTTCAATGTTTTTGTTCTGTTTCTCTTCAAAAAAGCTCGGGCAACTGGACAAAGCTGCATCTGCTGCTCATACGTATTTCCAGGCCAACCCTGAGCATGTGGAGATGGGAGAGGACCTGGAGCAGTACAAAGCCCAGAAAGGTGTAAAAGAGGAAGACTTTATTGACCGGGAATCCCGCCCACACCAGGTGAGTGACTGCCGACCCCAATTACGGCACTTTGCAATGCTGCTTGAACCTTCACGAACACCCTACAAAGCCAGAACAAGAAGTTCAGCATCATGAAGTGCGTCTTTCTATTTACAGAAAGCCTTCTTTGCTGGGGTGAAGCTCTACGACAAAGGCAACTACGAAGAGTCCGTGACTCTCTTTGAAGAGGCTCTGACTGAGTATTACCGTGCCGATGTGGAGTGTCGGGCCCTCTGTGAAGGACCACAGCACTTCGAGGAGCAGAAACATGTCTTGTACAAATACAACCTCTACGAGCTAATCTCAGGTACAGATGCTTTTGTACTCAGAGCTTTTCTGCTTCCTCCTAATGTGGTAAAGCTATCATCCGTGGTCTTGAGAAGTGTCTGGGAATTTTCCGTTCTCAAGTGGTTCTTTGGGACTTTCTATTGTGGATATCATGTTTCTGAGCTATTTGTGTTTCCAGAAATGGAGATCTTCCCGTTCTATGACCTCTATGCAAGTCATTTCTGAGTAAGCAAGAGATACAAATGTTTGACCTAAGTTTGAAATACAATCTGTTATTGTTGTGTCTTGACAGGCAGTTCATGATAGTACAACAATGAACAGCTTCAAAGAGTGTGACACATGGCTGCCCTATACAGTGTTTTGAACATAAAACTTACAATTTAAAAAGCTTTTTTGGATCAAAGCTGAATTCACTTTTATGATTTATTATTTATCAATACAGAAGCTGCTCGTTTTAACTTCAGCCTGTGAAGTTGCAGGGGGAAAACTAGCTTATGTCTGTTAAGCATTCATAACATGAGCCATGTTTTGTCTGGATTGCATTCCTGCTCAAAACCAGACTACCACACACAGTCCAACTGACCTCAGTTTGAAAAAAGATAACCATTTAATGCTAATATAAAGTGACTGTATATTTAATGTGTTTAGCTTTAATTTAATGTTTAGTTTTTCAGTGTTTATTATACACACCTGTGATCATACATCAAATGAATTCTATTTTAATTAGTGACAAGTATGTTGCTTGGTGATCACAAACAGTCAACATTAAGGGATCATTTGTACTCAGCTGGTCATTTTCTCAAAATAAACCCAAACAGAGTGATCATTTTGTATCATCCTCACAGATTCTAGTGACTTATTATTCAAAAGCACTATCTTTCAAAAGTTTGGGAACAGTAAGATATATTTTTAAAGAAATTGAATTTTTTTTTTCAGTAAGGATGCAATAAATTGATCAAAAGTGACAGTAAAGACATGTATAATGTAAATTTTCCGATAAATGCTGTTTTTATTTGAGCTTTTTTTTAAAGAATCCTGGAAAGAAATGTATCACGGTTCCCACAAAAATATTAATCAGCACAACTATTTTCAAAACTGATAATAATAAGTGTGCTCAGAAAATCAGCATATTAGAATGATTTCTGAAGGATCATGTGACACTGAAGACTGGAGTAATGATGCTGAAATTTCAGCTTTGATTACAGAAATAAATTACTTTTTAAAATATATTTAAATACAGTAGTCAACATTTGAAGTGGATCAAAACCTTTCATCAAAGTTGTCCTAAAACCAAAACAGTACCCGTTCTTGTCTTAGGACAACTTTGATGAACTTTTTTGATCCACTTTAAATGTTGACTACTGTAGAAAACAGCTATTTCAAACTAATAATATTTCACAATATTACTATTTTTACTGTATTTTTGATCAAATAAATACAGCACTGGTGTGCAAAGAGACTTCTTTCAAAACATTTAAAAAAAAAAAACCTAAAGACATTTCCAAAAGACACTAAGACATTTACCACATATATTCATTCATCATGTTCATAGTTGTTGATACAGATCTCACAATGCTGGTTAGTAGTTTTTAGCTGCTTTCAGTTTAAGCTGTCACATTTTAGTAAAATTGCTGTAATAGTTGCATAATAGGCACTAAATTAAGCTAATATAACTAACTGACATCTTTTAACCATGTGGAAGTCCATAAAAGTCAAACAGGGAGTCGTAATTCACTAACACTTATGTCATAACATCCCCCTAACATTTGGCTTCCAAAACAATGCATGTCATTGAGCTGCCAAAATGGTTCTTAATTATTGCTGATTGCATTTTACTGATTAAGGAAGGATGTGAAAGACTGTTGCATGATTGACATCTGTTTATGGCCTAAATGTGAAGAATTGGCCGGTCGTGAGGGGACTTGTTCTTCACGGGAGTCGTCAGTGTTTCTGAAGATAGCTTCAGGGTTTTTTTTTGCATGATGGCATGTCTCAGAGTTCAGCAAGGAATCCCTGGAAAGTATTCAGAATGATGTCACTGACATTTTCTGTCCGTTGGGTGTGTTTGTGCACATTAAAGGATCTGAGAGCATACGTGTATGTATGTTTTTGTTAGAATATAGACATTGTTTAGGGATTGTGGGATTGGACACTTTTCGGTATGCAATGACATCAATCTCTGCTACAATTATGGACTCATTTTCTGCTGTATTAACAAAAGGTCTTTTAAAGCAGATGGGTTGGTCATCATCATGATTTTCATGGTTTCTAGGTTATTGTTATATTTACAAAAGAAGTCAAGAGCTAGTTATATGCCTTTGTGAATACATAAATAGACTAACAGAGAACAAATTCGACAAATAGCATCTCCATCCCATAATATGCCTGTTAAACCCTCTTTTGATAGCAGCTCTTACTCATCTTTTTAAGTTGTGAATCTGTTTGCACTTTCATGTGGGATCAATCTGCCTACTACCCATCCACCACATTATGAAACCCTTTAACCTCTTAAGACCCGAGAAAAGATTTTTAGGAAAAAAATAGTTTTTTTCATGTCTTTACATTGTTTAGAGCATACAAAAAAAAGAAAGAAAGATATTTCATTCATAAGTTATGCTATGTCCTCAGTAGAGGACATTGGGACTCAATAAAAAAAAAAAAAACATGAATGAACATGCATAGGCAAAAACAATAGATTTTTTAAATCACCAATACATTTTTAGTTTTCATGATTTTTTTTGACCAAACTTTGTATAAAGATAATTCTCAACTATGTTATAACAGAATGAATTGATATACATTTTTTCTTTATGCAAAATGTGTGTAAAATGGCCATAAATGGGTTTTCTCATTATATACAATGTATCTATAAACTAAATCTAATTTGCATATTAATGTGTT